CCCTGTCACAGTATTATACTTGTATCTAACAGTTACACCTTGTTATACCCCTATCACAGTGTTATACTTGTATCTAAAAATGTTGCTGTGCTATACCCCTATCACAGTGTTATACTTGTATCTAAAAATGTTGCCGTGCTATACCCCTATCACAGTGTTATACTTGTATCTAACAGTTACACCTTGTTATACCCCTATCACAGTGTTATTCTTGTATCTAACAATTACACCTAGTTATACCCCTTAACAGTGTTATACTTGTATCTAACAGTTACACCTTGTTATACCCCTTTAACAGTGTTATACTTGTATCTAAGAATTACACTTTGTTATCCCCTATCACAGTGTTATACTTGTATCTAAAAATGTTGCCGTGCTATACCCCTATCACAGTGTTATACTTGTATCTAAAAATGTTGCTGTGCTATACCCCTATCACAGTGTTATACTTGTATATACCCCTGTCACAGTATTATACTTGTATCTAACAGTTACACCTTGTTATACCCCTTCAACAGTGTAATACTTGTATCTAACAGTTACACCTTGTTATACCCCTATCACAGTGTTATACTTGTATCTAACAGTTACACCTTGCTATACCCCTGTCACAGTGTTATACCTGTATCTAACAATTACACCTTGCTATACCCCTATCACAGTGTTATACTTGTATCTAACAATTACCCCTTGCTATACCCCTTCAACAGTGTTATAGCTGTAACTAACAATTACTCCTTGCTATTCCCCTATCACAGTGTTATACCTGTATCTCAGAATTACACCATGCTATACCCCTATCACAGTGTTATACTTGTATATACCCCTGTCACAGTATTATACTTGTATCTAACAGTTACACCTTGTTATACCCCTATCACAGTGTTATACTTGTATCTAAAAATGTTGCTGTGCTATACCCCTATCACAGTGTTATACTTGTATATACCCCTGTCACAGTATTATACTTGTATCTAACAGTTACACCTTGTTATACCCCTTTAACAGTGTTATACTTGTATCTAACAATTACACTTTGTTATCCCCTATCACAGTGTTATACTTGTATCTAAAAATGTTGCCGTGCTATACCCCTATCACAGTGTTATACTTGTATCTAACAAGTACACCTTGTTATACCCCTATCACAGTGTTATACTTGTATCTAACAATTACACCTTGTTATACCCCTTTCACAGTGTTATACTTGTATCTAATAGTTACATATTGTTATACCCCTTCAATAGTGTTATACTTGTATCTAACAATTACACCTTGCTATACCCCTTCAACAGTGTAATACCTGTAACTAACAATTACACCTTGCTATTCCCCTATCACAGTGTTATACCTGTATCTCAGAATTACACCCTGCTATACCCCTATCACAGTGTTATAATTGTATCTAACAATTACACCTTGTTATCCCCCTTCAACAGTGTTATACTTGTATCTAACAATTCCACCTTGTTATACCCCTTCAACAGTGTGATACTTGTATCTAACAATTACACCTTGCTATACCCCTTCAACACTGTTATACTTGTATTTAACAGTTACACCTTGTTATTCCCCTTTCACAGTGTTATACTTGTATCTAACAATTACACCTTGTTATACCCCTTCAACAGTGTTATACTTGTATCTAACAATTACACCTTGTTATACTCTTCAACAGTGTTATATTTGTATCTAACAGTTACACCTTGTTATACTCCTATCACAGTGTTATACTTGTATCTAACAATTACACCTTGCTATACCCCTATCACTGTGTTATACTTGTATCTAACAATTACACCTTGGTATACCCTTATCACTGTGTTATACTTGTATCTAACAATTACACCTTGGTATACCCTTATCACTGTGTTATACTTGTATCTAACAATTACACCTTGCTATACCCCTTCAACAGTGTTATACTTGTATCTAACAGTTACACCTTGCTATACCCCTTTCACAGTGTTATACCTGTATTTCAGAATTACACCATGCTATACCCCTTCAACAGTGTTATACTTGTATCTAACAGTTACACCTTGTTAAACTCTTCAACTGTGTTATAATTGTATCTTACAATGACACCTTGCTATACCCCTATCACTGTGTTATACTTGTATCTAACAATTACACCTTGGTATACCCTTATCACTGTGTTATACTTGTATCTAACAATTACACCTTGCTATACCCCTATCACAGTGTTATACCTGTCTCTCAGAATTACACCTTGCTATACCCCTATCACAGTGTTATACTTGTATCTTACTGTTACACCTTGTTATACCCCTATCACAGTGTTATACCTGTATCTAACAATTACACCTTGTTATACCCTATCAGACTGTTATACTTGTATCTAACAATTACACCTAGTTATACCCCTTTCACGGTGTTATACTTGTATCTTACTGTTACACCTTGTTATACCCCGATCACAGTGTTATACTTGTATCAAGCAATTACACTTTGGTATACCGTAATTGTAAGATACAAGTATACCACTGTGACAGGGGTATATCACGGTGTAACTGTTAGATTCAAGTATAACACTGTGAAAGGGGCATAACTAGGTGTAATTGTTAGATAGAGGTATAACACTGTGATAGGGTTATAACAAGGTGTAATTGTTAGATACAGGTATACCCCTATCACAGTGTTATAATTGTATCTAACAATTACACGTAGTTATACCCCTTCAACAGTCTTATACTTGTATCTAACAATTCCACCTAGTTATACCCCTTTCACAGTGTTATTCTTGTATCTAACAATTACACCGTGTTATACCCTATCAGACTGTTATACTTGTATCTAACCATCACACCTTGCTATACCCCTATCACAGTGTTATCCTTGTATCTTACTGTTACACCTTGTTATACCCCTATCCCAGTGTTATACCTGTCTCTCAGAATTACACCTTGCTATGCCCCTATCACAGTGTTATACCTTTATCTAACAATTACACCTTGCTTTACCCCTTCAACAGTGTTATACTTGTATCTAACAGTTACACCTTGTTATACCCCTGTCACAGTGGTATACTTGTATCTTACAATTACACCTTGTTATACCCCTATCACAGTGTTATACTTGTATCAAGCAATTACACTTTGGTATACCCCTTTCCCGTGTTATACTTGTATGTAACAATTACACCTTCTTATACACTTAGTAATTATACCGGTATATCATATTTAACCTTGTTATACTTTTTAACAATGATGTGCCATTATCGCAGTTTTACACGTTTTACGCTCTTTCATCGTGTTATAACAATATCTAACAATGCGCACCGCGAGCGGAAGCATGATAAGCCCTTCAGATTCTCGGAAGGGTATTCAAACATTGGAAGCAGGTAGTGGCACATGATATGTTTGGTTTTTACATTACCATACTTAATGAAAGGAATTAAACATATAATTCAAAATTTCTTCATTTACGACGGAATGCCATTATTTGACAATGAAAAAGCGGCATAAATGTGCAGAATAACATTTGAAAATCACGATTTAAGAATTCATCTATACAATCAGGTAATAAAATATCCCCAAAGTTTAACAAAAATTGAAGAACAATTTGAGTGATCGCTTAAGCAAGCAAAATTTTACGCAAAAAAATGATCAGCGTTGCTTTGTCAAGAGTTATATATCAAAACGCGGAAAGTTGAAACTCGATAGAACAATCCGTAATATAAGTAGAACTGTATTGCTGCTAGCATTATCGTCCAAAAGGAGGGGTAAGAATTTGGGCCTTCTGGTGGCTATCACCGATAAGTTTTATTTTTTGTATATACATACCTTGGGGTTATGCCATCATGATATGACATGAAATTAAGGTCAGCTTGGAGACCATCCTGAGAGACGAGGGGGTAAAGTGGGGGACCAAAATAACTAATGGACACTTTTTACCAAAACTACATGTTATTTGTCTAAAGTTTCTTTATCATTTTGGTGTATTGCGTATAACTAAAACTGCAAATATCAAAAATGGCCGAAAAGAGTAGCATATGGTTAATAAGTAGGTCACTATGTCCTTGCTATACATGTATGTGGCAAAATTATGTCAATAATTTTTTCATTATTGTGCCTAAATACATGTTAGAGCCATGCATTAATCTTACCGAATTGTATTAATAAGTATCTTAGCCTAACCCCAAGAATTTTGTTTAATGTTACGCAATACACCAAAATGAAGAAGACACTTTCAAAACATAACATGAAGTTGTGTCAAAAAGTGTCCATTTGTTATTTTGGTCCCCCACTTTACCCCCTCGTCTCTCAGGATGGTCTCCAAGCTGACCTTAAGTTCATGTCATATCATGATGGCATAACCCCAAGGTATGTATATACAAAAAATAAAACTTATCGGTGATAGCCACCAGAAGGCCCAAGTTGGCACCCCTCCTTTGCATGGAATTGATTAACAAAGTTCTTGCAAATACTACACAATGCCCTTATTCGGCAATAAAAGGGGCATAACTCCACTAAAAAAAGCACGTTATCTTCTGAAATGCAAATTCGTTCAAGCTATATTGCAATATGAGTACCAAGTGTCATCAAGATATTTTCATGAATGAAGGCAGAAGAGCGATGACGACATGGAAAAGTTAACCGACGAACGGACAACGCAGCCCCTACCATAATAGGACCAGTCGGACGACGGGCGTATTAAAATAGCACTTCGTTAAACTGGTAATTCACAATTAGCATTTAGAAGGACATGATCACCACATGTCTACCAATTTATGAAATATATACTCACTTTTACATTGGTTATCCACCTTTGTATAACCTTCGAGGCATTTACAGGTGTAGCTACCCGGACGGTTGACACATTCGGATGAAGCAGGGCACTGATATGTCCCTTTAGTACATTCGTTAATATCTGTGAGGTAAACCATCAGAAATAGAAAGATAAAGTAAACCAAAAACCCAAACAAGCCTTATTTGTCATTACAGTGCATTATTTATCATCAACACTAATAAGGTGTCCTAACTTATATGGGTCGTTTTCCCCCAGTTTTTGCAAGTTCCGGAAAATTCAGGAACCTCGTTGATGCAATCAGCAAATTGTGAACAGGTATGTTGTCCCGTAGAACATTCGTTGATATCTTCAGGCAACAGATATAAAGTTTTTGTTCATGTGACGATATTTAATAGTTAAAATCAATTGTTTAATAGGATAGGTAAAAAAAAATCACCGAGCATGTTTTGTTAATTTTTTTGTTATATGTATTGTCACTAATGTTCACATCATGTTCACAAAGATTTCAT